AAAAGCTCTCATTTAAATCTTGCCAAAGCCACGGAGCCTCAGCGTCTCAGCGCAGCCGGTGGGCTGCTTTACATAAGTCAAACCCTGGGGGGGGGCTGTAGATCCTTGAACACCTCTGGAGCTCTGACAGCAGCACATCCACCTAAACGCTTTCTCCACATCATCGCCGCCGTCGTCGTCCTTTCGGCCCCCCTGGGCAGCGTAGTCATCCTCAATAAATCAACCCATAAATTACCAGGGAGGGTGGGGACCAAGTCTTGAGACCATGTGGCGAAACAGCTGACCACAGCGCAGGGGACTGGGCTGCGTACCGACGGACTACGGTTTAGAGAGATCTCGCCGGGCTACTCTCAAAGAACAACGCGACACGCTTTGGCGTGCGCCAAAAGAGAAATGGGAAAGAAACGACGAGCCAGAAGGAAGCTGCTGGAAAACAGCATCATGGAACCATGTGGCTGAGATAATCTCCCCAGTTTGCAGCGAGAGAGAAGTACCGTCGTGCAACGCTGCCATACACGGAGACCCGGAATCTGGCTGCACAGGAGGACAGATGGGTGTAGGACACACACACAAACATTTTGTAGAAAAAGGGGGTTTGGGACTGAAGTGGCTAGTCCTCCTTGTACATCAGTTTACCGGGATTGGTTTGTTTTGTTTTTTTAAACGCAGAGTTAAAAAAACAGTTACAGATCTGCTTCCAAAGGGTTGAACCCCAATGACTCAAGTCTCTCTCTCGCGTGGACAGACGCATACACCTCAGCCTTCTGAATGAGCCCATCTGTGAAACCAAAGCAGCGTTTCGTGAGCTGACCGAGGGCGAGTAATGTCGTTTGTCACACCAAGCAGTAAAAAGGTTAACAGACTGTCTGCCTGTCGCAATACTTCCCAAAAGCCTCTCACTTTTTCCCTTCCCTCCCTCTACTGCCTTTCTTTGTGCTTCTTTTCTTTGTCTCTCAACTGTCTCACTCTCACCAGACGGCGCACATGTCATTCAGCCGCACGCGTTTGGGTGAAAGCTGCCCAAGGTCCGCTGAATCTGCAGCGATTCCCAACTGACATCCATTATCCTTCAGGCTTTTTGAAGTGTGTGTGTGTGTGTGTGTGTGTGTGTGAGTGTGTGCACACACACGCTATCAAGCCAACAAACCTGTTTTGCTTTCTCTGTGCTGCCAACAGGCACACATGAAAGATCTCAGGCCAAACAACAGCAACACATTGGGGGGGGGGGGGGGGGACTAAGACTGTGACCATTAGAGGAGAAGAAATTGCCTTTCTCTTTGAAAACAAACAAAGCAGAATCGATGCAGACACTGTGCTGTCCGCGAGATGTCAGCGCAGATACGGAAACACATTTAAAAGGATGAAGCATCCGAATGACAACACGCCAGCTGTGCGTTGAATCAGCTGCGTGAGTGGTAAACAAGAGGAACTTAAACACACACATTCACAAAGAGCAAAACAACGTCCAACGTACCTCACTGCAACATGTCTCGACCGTGGCGCTTTCTTTCCAGCCTGGTGATAAAATCCAGAGATGAGCTGATCTAAGCTGCAAAGATCTGGGGAGGGGAGAGAGAGAGAGAGCAGCTCTACTATTCCATAGGGTGCAATCCTCCACTGACATCCCATCCGTGAAATGTTTAAAAAGGAGAGAAATTTAGAAGTGGTTGTTTTTTTTTTGTTTTCAAAAAAAAGAAAGAAAAAGAAAATGTGAGTAGGACACGAGTATGAATCTCTAATTACAACCGCTTATCAAAAGCCCATCAGCAGCTTTTCAGGATGAGTGACCCTTGATAGACACAAACAGCACTCTGTTTCTTCTGCATCTCGTGTGCAGGCTGTGTGTGTGTGTGTGTGTGTGTGTGTGTGTGCGCGCGCGCGCACTGAAGGTGGAACCCTACAGTGGAAACAGGAGGAGAACGTGGAGAACTCCCACCTACACGAGGCCTCCTCCTCCCTCCGCAACGTAAGAAGGTCACGCTCTCTGCAGACTGGTAACGTTACCTGCGTTTATAAACGGAGTGCGTGTGTCTTACGTCGCTCACCTGTCTCACGGGGCCTCGTGCGACGTCCTCCTCCTGAACGTGCTTCAGGTGCGGTTTCTCCACGCGGTCATTTCCCCGCTCCACGAATTAACGCCGCGTTCCTCGCAGTCTGCGCCGTTTGGCGGCGGTGACGTCACACGGAAGGCAAAACGCGGGATCCACCGGAGCACGTGGGTCTCCACCACGCGACATTAGCGTAATTAGTGCACCTGTTGTGGGGGTGTTTGATTTGCGTCGTTTGGCGCGCCGGCCGGGTCGTTCATCAAAGCGGGAATTAATTAAAGGGACAGTGTGTCGGTTTTAGACCTTTTAATTACCTAAAGTGTAGAAGTGGCATATTCAGGATTGTAGTCCAACGAGGATGCTCTTATTAATACTTCAGAGCATTCAACATGGCCATCTAGTTATTTGGTGAAAATGATGTGTTTAATGACTGGTTGGTCGCAGGCAGCAGGGAAGTTAAAAAAAGAACCTTTTGGCACGTTGTGGCACTGTTGGTTGACTGAATTAGGTTTCACTTCCCTTTTAGGTAGACATGAAATTAGTCTAAACAGTCAACTAAAAGGTTTTTAGCGACTGTGACATCAACAAACGAACAACGCAGGGATATACAGGCCTACAAACAATGACAATGTGTACAACACATAAACAGACAGAGATGAATGTTGCTGACTCTGCCAAAGCTCCATCATGGAGCCATGAAGCTGAATGTGGAGACAGAGAGATGATCAGTTTATATTCCAAAAGATGCATTCAGGGGACAATAATCTAAACCAGCTCCAATGTTAACGCAGTACAAAACGAACAAACCACTAATTCTGTCACGTTTTTCAGCTCAAGCACAGTTTGTGTCTCGAGCTCAATTGATTGGAAAAAAAAATTTAAAATCACAGAACATGGCGTTTAGACTTTGGAGGAGCGGGTAAACCAAATCCGCACTTAAGTGAGAAATGCACGCAGTGCCGCTGCCAGTCGAGCTGCAGGCCGCTGGATCAGCCTGATTACTTTGGTCCGACCGCAGCAGATCAAAGTAATCCCCAAATACTAGAGAAGGTACACGGAACCACCGTGTCGAACACCCCGTTGAGCCCATGTCAGGTTTTTTTATATTAGTGTGTCAACATTTTAGACTTGTTTTTTTTCTTTCTGAGGTTCAGCTAAAAAATAAAGGAAATAAAATGTTTACCATTCGAATGCAGATGGGTGTTCACTCCATAGTTTAATGAGACAAACTCACTGTGTTGTGTTGGTATAATATATATGCTAATATGGGACATCTGTCATCTTTTTTTCGGCATGTAAAAATTTGTGAACTCGCATCACGTGTGTGTGTGTGTGTGTGTGTGTGTGTGTGTGTGTGTGTGTGAACTACACACAGTGCCAGCATGTGTACACAGCAGGCCTCATTTCCTGATTCTCCGGTCAGATGCTGGTTTCTCTTTTGAGACGGCAGCCCACAATGACATCAGCTTCCGCCAACACACCAGCCGTCTCCATGGCACCGCACAAAGACATTTCTGGCGCAGAGGGAGGGGGGAGCATCATGCTTGACACGTTTATAGGAGCGGTCCGTGCAACCCGGTGTGTTTGTGCAGCAGCCTGCTCTTGTTTACTGCATCATCAAAGAGCTTCTCTGACTTCCGTGTCGGCATGGTGCAGGGAGTCTGGCCCGCGCACTCTGTTCATCGCTGCTTCAGACCCCACGGCCTCTCTAGTGGACACCCTGCTATCCATTAAGTCCAATTTCAATCATTCTTGCTCGGCCTTCTATTTTAGACGTTCTTACTCCCCCCCTCTGGTCTCTTCTTGTCGAATGGAGCCATGACTCCGAGGGCAACATGCCGAGTGAAGGAGTGGCCACCCAGGGGGGCTTTGTCTAACTCTTTGCCCCAGAGAATTGCCCCAGACAGAAGGCCATTGTGTGTGTTTGAGAGTTAGGTAAAGGAGAACTCTTAGGCAGAAATATATTCACACAGCTATCTTCAAAGTAAAAACGTATATCTGGCTAAAAAACATCACAATGTTGTGATATTGGGACGTCTCTTTTTTAAATATATCATATTAAAAAGCCAACTTAATGACTTATTTATTCCTACTTATTCTCATTCATTATTAATCAATTTCATCTGAACATTAATTGTAGCATTATATATTGCGATGTGGAGGATGTCCCTTTCAGGCATTCTGCCCCGAACCCTTAGAGGGCGTTGTATTTTTCTTAATATGCTAAAACGGTTGTTACTGCCACCAAACAAACATTTCTATCCAAAAGTGAGCATTGTGTTAGTGGTCTAAGTTGATCCCTGACAGCAGATTAGAGCGACACATTTAGATCAGACAAACCTTTTTGTTAAATAAATGAATATCACAGAATGTAAGTTCCCATTGTCCCGTGTTCCACTGTTGTGTTGCTAATAAAATTTAGGGAAATGTACGCTGTGTAAATCATTTTGTAGTTCAGTTAATGAACATTTGCTCCGATTCGATCATTTATTCGGCAAAACGCTAAAAAATAATAACGCCATGAAAATAACGTATGAAAATAACGTATTACAGCCATACTTTACAGCGTACTCTAATATTATAGAGGTTCCTTTAACTCCATTACAGGTAATTTTCACAGAATGTTTAGTTAGGTCACCAATTGGTCAAAATGCGTCTGAATCCCAGGTGTAAGTCTCCCTCTGCCAATAGCAAAAAGAATCATTGAGAACATTTCACCATGTCCTCCGTGCTCCTCAGGAGCCCCTTTGAACGTGGAACCGCCTCAATCTAAAAATAGCCACCTTTACCTGAGACCCAGTGTTCCTGCTCAGCATCGGCTCTCTGCTGCCTGGCAGGATGTTCTGTCACACGGAAGTCCCTCCTTCCCTCCTTCCCTCCTTCTCTCCTTCCTCCTTCTCACGGCCGACAGATGAGCAACAACCTCCAACCCAGATTCTAGTTGACGCCAAATCTTTTGCACAGAACTGTCACTTTTATTGCATTTTAATTTGAATAACGTGAAATCAGATGATGGCTATCAGATGATACAAGTGTGTCTGAATACCTGGAGAAATATGTAAAACCTTGAGGAATGCTACAGGAGGAAAGATTATGGATCAGGGCAGTATGAGAATGACACAAGTACAAGTCACGTCTCAGGGATTATTTGAAGGTAAAGTACTTGATTTTCTTAGAAATGAGCATAATACAGTTAGTAGCTACATGTATTTGAAGAGTAAACGCCGTGACATCGACTGATAGTCCCCTTCGTGTGCCCTCGGGCGGCGCAGCCTGCTCAGTCTCTCGCTCAGCCGGAACAGAAATGGCTGCTTTCTGTATTCTTCTCACCTCACAGATTCACGTCAGCCAAAGTCAGACGAGGTCACCGTCCCGGCGCTGCGTCGCTCTCTCTCCCATCGCGGCCCCTAACCCCACCGCCACAGTGTTCCTCCGGACCCAAAATCGGGTGACGCATTTTAAGCCAATTTGACAGCCCCCAGGAAGGTGGTGTCTCCGAACAGGGACACATTGGCTGTGGACCGAGGGATCAGCAGCTCCACGTGGTCCCCGGCCTCCAGCTTCACAATACCTGAGCAATTCAAATGCACATTAGATGTTGAACTGCAATTCCTCTTTTTTTCTTCTTGCTACAATCCCACAACCACTGACACACGCGTGCACACACACACACACACACACACACACACACACACACACACACACACACACACAGACACACAGACACTCGCTTGAAAGCTTGACTAGAGAACAGCGGCTGACCTCCCGTAACAGCTGCTGTAAAGTCGGGTGAGCACAGCTCGACACAAACAATAACTCGCCTCCTGTGTAGCAGGTGTTGTAAGGGTGGACGGGGTTCATGTTCTGGATGCAGCGGAACAAGATCACATACTGAGGCTCGTCTCCCACCACATTCCTCTTCCTCCGGATCACCACGTGACCCATTGCAAAGGTGCTGTCCATGTAGTAGACCTGAGCACGTCACAAACACTGGGCTCAATCTATGCAGTGAGGTAAAGGATTTTAAGCACTTGCAACATATAATAATGACAACTACTCACAAAAAAGGACATTTTCTGAGACATTTATAGAAAAAAAAGGACCATATGGCCTGTCATAATTATAGTGCCTAAAGGTTAACGCGGAGAGACAGTCAGGTGAGGGGTACATCATTTATTATGCATACATCATTAGCATTTCCTCTTCTTTATCTGACCTTTCTTCAAGGTCTGTTAAACCACTGCGCGCTTGGAATCGAGCACATCATCCCCCCCCCTGCAATGTGTGATAGACACTCCCCCCCCTCCTCCCCCGGTGTGCGAGATGGTGGCGAGCGGAGCAGCAGCGCCTTCGAGTGGAGAGTCGGTGGAACGACGCGACCGAGACGGACTGACCTGACTGTACACGAAGTAGAAGCCCTCCTCTCTGACCAGCATGCTGTCCCCATCGGCCTCCAGGGCCGAGCCCCTCCTCAGACCGGCCTGCCAGGGGATCCCCGTGTGCGGCTCAGAGTTATATTCTGCACCCGGGAAAACAACGAGTCCATCAGGGAACGCGTCAAATCATCACGACTGCATTGCATTTAATTCATACAAATAAGTTCTAACTGTGATCGGTCCAAAGCGAATATAAAAATTCACTATCAGCAAAAAAAAAAAAAAGGACAAGAAATACTGCACCTTTCCTGAAGGTTCTCCGGCTATTGTTTGCCAACAACTGCAAGCAAGGCTGAGCAACTGTAAGAAAATATACAAGAACATGTTCATGCGGGTCACAGGGTTCCTTACAATCTGCATGCTGCTTTTCCCATGTTGGTCTCTTTTTCCCTTTTCTGGGCCATATTCCATTGACAAACTGCACTATTAAGTGGCTTGAGCTGATGGTCGAGCATCAGAGACTTTAAGTTTTAAGTGGTCATCGGGTCATCCGACTCAGCTTTGTCTACAGTGGCATTCGTGGGAGGGATTCCTTCCTTTTCTGCAGGGTCCGTACAAATTGTGAAGCTCATTTGAGCAATATAAATAATCGAACGGAAAATGTTGGCATACAAAATATCATGAGAATAAGGAATGGATTAAAGAACTTAATCACCACATTAAACACTGGAAAGCTTTTTCAGAATGACTCATGGTTTTGAAAAAAACCCCTCACTAATCTTCACTCTATTCAAACTAAAAGAAGCCGGTTCCTGCAGCACATGTTCACAGCGACCTGTCAGACTTACTAAGTGGTTCTGATCCAGGCACCAATCTTTTCTTCCTCGTCGGGGGGACGGCGTGTCGAGGGCCAGGTTGGTGCAGCGACTCCTGGCTGTTTCCCCCACTGACATCCTCAGTCTGAAAAGACACAACAAAGTGTGTGTGGGGGGGGAAAAACAAACGAACAACGTTACCACGCGTCTCCACGAATCCGCGCGGGCGAGGACGTCCTCGGTGACTCGGCGTCGCTCACCTAGGTCGCGTGTCGTCTCCGGGCCTCTTCTCTCCGGCGTCCAGCTCGATTGAGTCCTTCCACCTCCGCCCTGAGGGCCACCAGCTGTACAGCGACAGGGCCGACAGGGAGGAGGTGGTGACGGCAGCCAGCGTCAGCAGGAACACCGGCCAGGACAGCCTGCCTTCACCTGTCCTCTGCCCGTTCCCCGCCAGAGCGGCCATCGCCGGGCCCATGACAAAAGTCTCCCGAGTGCTCACGCACGCACACCGAACCGCGCTGACCCGGGTTACAAGCGGTGGCATCAATGTTGTCCCCAGCTTTACCTCAACAAGCGTTCTTAAGTGTTGCTTCACTCTCGTCCTCCAGTAGCTGGTTCCGGTTTAGTCTGTGGGACTACGCAGAGGAAACACTGTACAAAAAAAAAGGGGGCAAAATAGCTTCCCCTATACTGTTCCGCTCGGCTAACCACACTCACAGCTTCCTGCCCTGATGGGTCTTTGACCTCTTTCTCTTTGAGTGTAAACACATGGCGGCCTCTCCGCAAGCCAACAAACAGGCCGGCTGATTGTTGCAGGGCGTAAACAGGAAGGAGAGGACAGCAGTGAGATAAGTGACAGTCCGTTGAGGTGATGGGGGGGCAGAAATGCATATTATCCATGACGGGGTCAAGTCTGAGTTTGACAGTTAAGAGGAGCCGGCGCAAACTGAAAGAAGGAAGTACCAAAGTTACTCGGCAAAACCAAACGGCGATTCTCAGAATTTAAAAAAGTGAAGTGATGCCAAGTTAAATAAATGAGTTTAGAACTGTTCAAAAACATTTTTTTAAAAAGCTTGTATAAAATAAAGATCTAACAGAACGAGCAATTTCAATGTATCAATTTATTGCTTTACAGTACAGAAAATAGAAAGTGAAAATGTGCACTTACAAAAGAAGTCGACATTGTTTTAAAATAGAAAAGAAACATATGTAAGTGAAATGGAAAAAAATCACTCAAACAGACGGCTTCATACTGAAGATGAATCATTCACATGTCCGACTCGTCACGTGTTTTCTGTGAGTCATTGTAGATGAACACAAATATAGTCGACACTGTTCAGGTGCGTTACAGACTCAACATGTCACATGCCGGCCTGCAAATCCTAAGTTATGGCAACACTTTGGACAGCATCCATTTCACTATTAACAATCATATGAACATATTAAATATGTTCCATAGTGCATTTGCAGGGTACCCGGTAAATTAAAAAAATGAAGACATTCATTTTGATTCCATTTCTTTTTGTCAACATTAGACAGTATCAATACACTTGGATAGGAAAAGAAAATCAAAGAAAGAAATAATTTTTCTTAAAGCCAAAATTCAATAAATCAAATGAATGATGAGTTGCATCTTTTCTTAAACCGAGCGCACAGGAGAAGCGAGTAAAACGAAGTATCTGCAGCCGAGTGCCTCAATCCTACTTTGGTTGAATTTAGATTACACAATGACAACCATTTGTTGGGAGAAATCCCACTCGTGTTTCCTGCTAGAGGCCGAAAAGTCACGAGGAGGAAGAGAAGAGCATCTATGTGTTACTTCTTGTAACGCACACTTCTTTCTGTACAACTGGTTCGTAGCAGCCTCGAGGCCGTTTGAAGCTCAGAGACAAACAAATGTGTTTGTTCAGTTTCGGTTTTCTTACTCGTCAGAAACAATCAGTTATGGCTGAAGAGATTCACATTTAAAGGCTTTAACACCAAAAACTAAAGTTCTTAAAGAATGTTTATATTTGTTTCAGGACTATCTTAGTAAAATACTCAAATACCAAAACTTGCATTTTGTTGCAAAATTGTTATTGATCCTTTTTTTTTTTTTAATGGTACTATTGAGTATCTTTCCGTGTCAAGTAGTCCAATTGAATTGTAAATGCCCTGCAGAATATCACATGTAAGGTTCATTTAGCAGAATACCATTGTAAAAGATGAAGGAATCTTGTCTGCATTTGGTAGGATAAGGGTGCACTTCTAGCTGCATCAGTACATTAAGTAAAATACCAGCAAACTCTTTTTTCATTGCAGAAGATTCCCCCGAAATTCATGCTCATAGGAAGTTTCTTCTTTAGATATTCACATAATGTGCTGTTTATGCTCTATACTCGCCCTCATGAAATATTTTCCTGGTTATGTTGGATTGTACGATGGGAGTTTCAATCTAAATCAGTTCAAAGGCTTTTTTGCAACACAAAATGTATATTCAGGATTTTCTGGACTGTATTTTCTTTTGACCTGGAGGAACAATAACACATGGGAAAGTACACTTGATTCGTCTCTTACAGAGACGGCTTAAGTCTCATATTGTCCTCTGCTCAACTTTGGAATATTCTTTTGCATTAAAGAGACGACTTGGAAGTGACCAACATTTCGTCAAGATCAGTAAGGACAGGAAGATTACAGCAAGCAGCAATATTTCAGTATACAAGTGATCATGTGTTATAGTGTCGAGCCAAGATAGACTTGAATAGATCTGCACCCATCATTTATTAACAAAACCAAACACAAGAGCAAAATTGTCCTCAACAAACCACAGGGGAAAGTTAACCATATATGTGTAAATTGATCAGTAATATGTCTTGTCATGCCAGGAAGATGCAATGATGATCCTCAACAATTTCAGAGAAAAAACCCATCCTGATCCTCCTCAGGTATTACACAGGAGATGTTAGCCTACTCGGGTAAAACACAACAAAAGGTATGTATTCATGGAGATATATACAGATTAGGCCTAAATATTGTCAGTGTCTTATTTTGGTTGCCAGAACAACCCCATTCTCCCAATTCCAGTCAAATCAGTATTTACTGAAATATCGTAGTGGCTCATATAGTCATCAGACAATGAGCAAATGTTCCAGGGGTTTTTACTCAGGAAAGACCCTGATAACAGCAAGTCGTCTGCGGTTGTGACAGGTCTCGCAGTCTGGCTTCATTTGTCTAAAGGCATAAACATGCCTTCATAGCAACAACACAAAATAAGCCATGAGGGAAGTTTGTTGCCCTCCTTTGACGCCATGAAATAGTCAAATTATGTTAAAAGATATATTTACAGGAAGTGAAACAGAAGAAAGTGAAATCCAGACAAAAACAGAAGCAAATGTACATTCTTTCCAATAAAAGAGCCTTTGACAGCAATCACTCCGGCTCATCACTTGAAGTCAACAAATCAAATGATTTTGTTCAGATAATGGTGACACTAGATGAGGGCTGAGCGCTCTCCTCGTGCGCGTGGCTCTTCAGCAGGTCTTTTGTGAACTGCTCCAAAGCAGCAAAGTAGCCCTGACACTGCCACGTGTCGTTGTGCGTGCCCTCTGGAAAGATAGCAAGACGTTTAGTCCGCGTGGGAGACAGCTCATAAAGCTGTTTCATCATGACGGGGGGGATGAGCTGGTCCGACAGACCGGACACAAACAGCGAGGGCATGCGGCACAGCGCGACCTGTCGATAGGACAGGAACTGATTCCTGTAGCACCACAAGGGCAGCAGGCGCATGGGCAGGAAGGAGAAGAGTGTAGCCGCCATGTGGGGGATGCTGAGGAAGGTGTTTTCAACAATGATGGCGGCTACGCGGTGAGGGTTGACCGACGCCAAGCGCACGGCCACGGCACCCCCCAGCGAGCGGCCAAAGAGCACGACCTTTGTCTTGTCCAGGTCAGGGCGGGTCATGACGTAGTCCAGCGTGGCCTCGGCATCCAGGAACAGCCCGTCCTCGCTGGGCTCGCCGTCGCTCTTCCCGTAGCCGCGGTAGTCCACCAGCACCACATTGGCTTTCAGATTGACCAGCATCAGCAGGGCGTTTGGCACCCTGTGGCCAATATTACCTGCATTACCATGGAAATAAAGGATGGTAGGCGGAGCAGAGGAAGTGGGGCTGCTTTGATTGCCAGGGTTGACTCCAGGAGGCTGGTCGCCTCCTGTGTAGCGAAGCAGGATGAGGTTAAGCTTCACACCGTCCTTGGTGCGAATGTACACGTTTTCATGGGGGATTCCCGTTGGCATGGGAACATAAAGGCGAGAGGAGGGGGGCTGGTCGGGGAAATAGAGGAGCACGTCCTGAAACTTGTAGAGAATGCCTGCCACAGAGGCCAGGATAAGAGCCAGGAGGAAGAATCCCCCATACAGGTGGAAGGTGAGGATGAGGGCCAAAAGAGAGACTCGACAAGCACCCCAGGACCAGGAGGCCAGAGTCAGGGTGCAACGCTCGATCGCCCCCCACAGCCTCCAGGGCTTCTCCATGGCGATCCGAGAGCGGAGTCAGACGACACACACTCTGCAAATAAAGAGCAAAGAAAGCGCGGGGGAGAGAAGAGAGAGGTTCAGTTTAAATGTACATAGCCGAGGATCGAGTGATTCTATAAACAAAAAGAAAACTAAATATACATTTAAAAAAGGGATACAGAACGCTCTCCATTACCGCATTAGTGAATTTGTTTGTGATTATTTCAAATTAAAAATGACCCAACCATCAGTGTCCAAAGTGATGGTTGCCAAATCCAATGGAGGAAGGAATATATCACATTAGAGACTCTTTACTATCAAGTAATTATACTAAAATCTGGTACATTTATGTCAGAAATGACTCTTTATTAAATTGCCACGCGTTAATGTTCCTCCAGAGGATGCACTCACTCAGTGTGCAGCTTGCTATGGCTATGAGTTAGGTCAGAGGTCAGATGCAGTCAATGCTGCTTCTGTAGGTAATATGAATCATAGTTAAAGCCACTGAAACAACTGCTCTCAGCCCTCGCTGAGTGAATTCATTGATCCATTGCTAGGTGTGGTCAGGTGTGAGCAGAGCAGACTAACCAGTGCTGGAGCTCCACAGGACAACGGATGAGCACCAACTGAGGGGTTAACGTTACGTTAAACTAACGAAGCCCGGTACGAAATGGGGGAAACAGAAGCTAACGAATATTACAAGACTGAAACACGTCGTGACCCCACCCACGCGGGAGGTGGAGACGGAGAAAGCTGCTGCTGCTGCCGGCCTGGGGGAAGGCAGCGACCGACACCGGAGCCTCGGCAGCTGGCGTTAGCAGGTTAACGTTAGGAAGCGTCCGTCAAACTCAATAGAATGCTTCTCAGGCACAAAGCTGCTTGTCAGTATTAAATGATGAATCAGCACCGACCACTGTAACGTTATGTCCGGGCTGTCAAAAACACGAGCGGCTACCGAGACGGCGACATACCAGGAATTTAAGTTAACGTGACTGGACATGAAAGACAAATGAATCACCATCAAAAAATGACGTTAGCTAGCTTAGCTGCGAGTTAGCACCATAATAGGTATGCTAGCTAGCTAGCTATCGCAGCTGCTGCTTCACCGTATAAATGAACGCTAACACCGCCTCTGTTGTGTCTTCTATGGTTAGCAAGGTAGCCACATACTCACCCTCCTCTCATTTCTTTAGCACCTCAGCCGCATGAATGTTTCACCAAACAGTGGCACGTAGAAAGCACCTCACTGTCACGCAGCTCCTCAGCCGTTAAGTGAATTGCATTGACAGTAAACTAGTGAGATAAACAATGTGAACTAGTGTCAGCCGGTGAGGCTAACTTAGCTGCACCTCCTGCTAGCATTAACAGCATTAATGTGTGTACCCGTCAAGAGCTCCGTACACGTCTTAACTGCACGAGAAAGGTTCCTTCTGGTTCTTGTTCTTTGAAGCTGTACAGTAGCTGGCATCCGCATTGTGCTCTACTGACACCTCCTGGAGTTAAATAACTCCTACAATGTGTCTACTAGGTGGAGTTTTTCTCATTTTTCTCCTCAGTCTGGTGCTGGGAGCTGATGCATCCTCTCCTATCCTCTGACTATGTATGCAAACACCTGAAACATGGAGTGTGCCGTTCAAATTACTCTGCCCTTCCTATTACTTCCCCTCTATTTTGGGTCTAATTTCATCTCCAATTGCAAAATCCTTCTTATTGGTCATTGAATCTTCCGCATATCTTATATCTGAAAAAGTCTTATGGACTTTCATTTCATCACTTATTTGTTGTTTGTTAACTTCCCCCATTGCTTCTCAAATGTACCCGATAGTTTGATAGCGTTTTTCTGCATAAACACAATGACATTTCTCCTTTTTGAACATGCAGGACATGTGTGATGTTCTTCTTGCTCCTTTAAATAATGTAAGAACCAAATCCAAAACCCACACTCCCATAATTTAACCTTGATGCAACTATGCTGCATGTGTGTTTTATATCAGTTTTAATCATATCGGTTCCTCACAGCAACCCGTCAGGGCTTCTCTTCACATGGACCACAACCTTTTTACATTGAACCACCAAAGTAAAAAATAACCTGTCAAAGTTTTGCTGAAAATACAGTCAACACCCATTTTGTGTGTGTTCTAGTGTGCTAAAAAAACAGAGGGAGGATACATGTCTACATGTCTCATACAAATCATGTCAAGCACTGGGTGCTATGTATAGTGTCCTGATCTGAAGTTGTGTGCTATTTGATGTTGGCCCACCAGATGCTGCTCTTGGAAAGATTATAATCCAAAAAATACATTAAGTGTAGGTTACTTTTACAGGTTAGGAGTAAAATCCCCAAATGAAAGTTAATGGGATGCTTCATGAATAGTCCTACGTGTTGGGTTAGGAAGACATGGGGGAAAGTAGCTATCATTTACGCACCACGTCGAGCCAACCAGGAAGTTGGTATGTTTTGTTGATGTCGGGCCTCAAGTATCTCGCAGCTAAAAAGCTAGATTCCCTCAAAAAAAGGTTTCAAAAACACTGCTGACACACCGAGAGAAACGTCCCCAGTTAAAAAACGGAGAGGGCAGAAAGCGTGTGGACCTGTACAAAACATTCTGATGTATCCACTGAGATCAACTAAATGAACAAAAACCAAATAACTAAGGATCTGAAATGACTGATAACTGTCTCACACTGGCAATCACTTAAGTGGGGGGATATGGACACAAAGGCTTGTGAGATACACGTCTGTTTGTACGTTGGTGTTTTCCCCTCTTCTTGACGGTTGGTATTGCAGTAACATCTCGTTCACACTCAGTGTGACCTTGGATGAGACAGACATATTATGTGCAGACCAGCACAGCTGTGGGTCGCTCCGCTCTGTCCTTGAGGTTCGTTGATTTGATTCTGTGGCGCTGTATTAAAACCTTGGCAGGATTCCCCCTTCTATTCCGTCTGACAAAAACTTCATAGGCCTCCGAAAATAATGTCTGTCTGTGAAAACATGTGGTTCATTCGATTATAGTTAAGGCAGAAATGGTGACGCTGGCAATAGTGAGCCGCATAGCTGCAGCACAGATGCAGGTCGGGGACTTTTCTGTCCACACGTGAACAATTGTGTTACCATCGCCGGACAAATTGTTATCTCGACAGAAAGATGTGAATCTGTATATTGTGGTCGCCCTGTGCAAAATCTATTTGGAAAACTGCAGGATTTTACATTAAGACATAGGAAGCTAAACAAAAGCCTTTGGCAAAAACGGGTGTTTTGTTTATTTTTTCGTTAGTAAAACTCACAAAATTCAATTTTATGCTCACTTGGAAAATGGCCTTTAAAGGGAAAATGTTTTTGGTTCAATAAAATAAGAAATAGGGGTAAGGGAATATATTTTTTCAACAGATTATGCGCGTGTTTAAATTGCCACTGTTGAAACAAAGAATGAAGGGTAGAGCTAATTATGCAAAAATCCTAGTCCTGCAGAATGCATCTCACACAAGTACGCAAACAAACGCACACGCTCGTCTCTTTAGGTCATATGTGCTGTATTCTGATGGATTCAGCTTTTAAGAAACTGACAGCTGGCGAGTTCCCTTGCTCTTATCTACAACTCAATTACCTTTCACATGCCAGTCAAAACATATATATTAAACACACACACATGGAAGCCCATACACACATATGCACGCACACTCTGCGGCTCAGCTCTCGTATCCCACCACTCAATTACTTGAAATATAACACTCCAAACAGCTGGAGGGCTTGAGCACAATAATACAAATTGAGAGCGGCGGCGGGACGGGCTGAGGCCGCCACGACCTCGCTGGGAATATCATACCATCAGGCCAGGGGACACGCTTGTCATTCACCTCATGCTACGCGCCCAGTAGCCAAGCAATTGACACACATTGATTTCGCTGTCAGTCAGCATCTTTTGTGACTGGTGCTGGGACTTTATATCTTCAAGTGCTGCTGTCACTGCATTTTTGCTCGATGTGCGAAAGACCAGGCTGAACTCATGTGACATCATCATGAGGGACGGCTCTTTGATTTGCAAGTCACTGAATGCCTCGCACGGGGGGGTGATAGATGTGGTGTTCATGGCTACAATAAATGTGTTGTCACCTTGGCGACGGAGCGTTGCTCGACGGCGGAGAGGACGGCTACATAACGGCAACTCCTCATTTCCAACCAGTTACTTTTCACTCCAATACAACATTAAACTGCCTTTCTTTATTTCATGCAGATTCCTAATTAACAACATGAGAGTTGCTGTAGCTCCCACGGCTGTTGTGTCAGTAGGTAAGGTTAAGGTTTATCAAGATCGGGTGTTGTATGTTGACCCGCAGATATACTTCATATATGTTGACGCGTATCATATACGTCACTGTGCCACACAGAGCCCTCTGAGCTCCATAATGAAGAACTTGAAGCTCCATTTGTTCACACCTGACAGTTTTAAATACTCCCACCATGAAAAGTAGATTAAGGAAGTGGTCTCCACTCTGGCTAAAATTATTTTATCACGCCTGCAGCGTCTGTAGAGCGTAAATAGTCTTATCCTAAAATGTCATTAGTCTTCCGGTCTTTGCCCACTTTCCTCCTGGTGGTAGAGATAGGTAATTAGCACATTTAACCACCGTGCCAAAAATAAAGATGACTTTCCCAAGGTTTCTCCAGGCACCTCGAACCATCTCCACAGTGGTAACATCAGTTACCAGCAGCTTAAATCTAGCAGTCTTCAAGTGGTTTCCTAATGCAATTCATCTAAGTGTCTTTTTTGGAGTGTGAATGCCGTCTTTTGTCAAAGCAAGTTAAGTTGACATTTTATATAATAGTCTAATACCACAAATTAGTCATTTGCCTCAAGGGGCCATAATCTGTGACACCTGCTGTGGGTAAACCTTCGATTCCGATCGCGCATTAAGTGTGAAACTCCAAAGCCCAAAGACTGGAAACAGCGAGCTTTCCAAAGTTCAGCCATTTGGGTAGAAAGGTGACCCAATAACACGGTGTGAACCTAAGACGAGCTGGTGGACAAATAGAAGGCCTTCCTCTCTGCTCCCAGTCTTTATGCAGAGCTGATCCCAGATCGTGGGATCGATCTTCTCTTCTTACTCTCTACTCTTACAGAAAAGCAAATACTCATATTTTATGAAATGTCCGATCCTTCTTCTGAGGAAATTACCACATCAGCAGCCACCATAATAATGATCCGATCCTCAACATCCTCAACTTTGTAATGAAACATTGTTACAGTGAAACCACATCGGGAGAATCCTCAACACGGTTCTCTGTGAAGGAAGTTTTCTTTTTAAAAGAACACGAGTGTCAGCAGCAAGCCCTGTTTGATAAAAGTGCAATATCAAGGGCATGCTGTAATTACAATTTGTCCAACTCAGCCTGTGGAGACTTTCCTCCCTGCACAGTCAGAGTCAGAACCCACTGTCCTTGAAAAATGGCGCCACGTTTACACCTCTGAGGGAAGTCACAAGGCTTCTAAAGGTGGGGGAAACTCTAGCGATGCATATTCACGGCCCATGTTGCTAAACTCCATCCACCAAGAGGGAATTCACTCAATTTACAGAATACTAAGTCCCTTTGTGAAGGTCAGTCAGACCAGTGGGCATAATGAGTGATTATTGAGTTGTTTAGGGAGATCACTCCGAAATCACGCTGATACCAGAGGACATGTGGTCGGGAGAGAAAAAGACCGGGGGGGTTGATGTCCAGATGAAAGGTTCCTGTTTTATCCTGCGAGGACGGAGAGGCAACCTGTCATTTCTCCTTTGATAAGGATGTGGTGTGAGAGTTTGAGTTGGTAAACTGAATGATCAATATTACATTAAAAAGAAAAGTCTGGGATGTTTTCATCATACAAAATGGATCTTTGTTTATAAGATGAAAAGATTAAATTAGAAAACAACTTATTAAACATGGCTGAATAAAAGTTGACACAGGAATGTTGCTGAAACTAAAGCTTTGTGTGGGAGAAAAGTGCACTTTTTCATTAGTTTGTGTCAGCAGGTCTCTAAAGAGAACCTGCAGCAGTGTGTGTAAATGAAGACTAGTCGGGGAAAATAAGTCTCCTCCTAATGGAACAATACTTTGGTAACAGCTATCCATCCAATTACCATCTCGTTTCATGAATGCTGGACAGACTGAAAGGCATTTATACGTCCATCAAACACGGAGCAGGGCTGCTATAAAAATCAGTTATTGACCTGGAAGTAATTTAGCACAGCGTGTGATTTTGTGTGAAAAGGGTGAGAAAGAGAGAACAAGAAGGATCGGGCCTCAATTACCAATATGTTTGTTCTATGGTGATGTGATCTAAAGAAAAAAAAGTCCCCGTCAGATCCACAATGTGTTCTCAAACAAGACAATAGTTGGGGCACGCCTACAATGTAACCAATTTTTCTTTTGATCAAAATTAACATATGTATGTAAACGCCCTGCCAATCTCCTTAAAAGGCCAATGAGAATGCAGCGTGCACACACACAAAATGAAAAGGCAGAACTAAGTCAAGGATGCCTGACGACCGTAATATGTTGTTATCGAAAGAATCAGTAATCAAGGAAAGTTTAGGATAAATGATGTTCAAATTGAAAAAGTGTATGAAAATAAATTGATAATTTATCAAATGTATATGTAAAAACAAAAATTTCAACAAAAGCGGTTGCCTGTTGGGTAGGTAGAATTAAGCTTTAGCCAACGCCTTATCAGATGCATTTTGTATTCTTTTGTGGAACAAAAAGTGAATTATTACCACTACTGCTATATTATATATCACCTTATAACAAATATAAGGTGGATGTAAAAAACACACAAACGGTTATTTGCTTTGTAAAAAGGAAATTATTTATAAAGACTATTACTATCGACTATAGACAATTGTAGAGTTATAAAAAATGATATAACAGATTATTTTGCACAAGTCAACACTCAAAAGTGAGGGTGTACGTGAGTGTACAAGGACTCTTTTTCCACCAACAAATCCCAAATGATTGCTATTAAACTGGGTTTTCAGAAGACCTTTCTGCACAAGAACTGTTGTCAAATGAGAGGACGGGCCAGCATACAGTTCCATGTAGTGACACATGTGTCTGGCTTCTTCTATCTCGCCCTCCCCAGTCACATGTAGTAAGTCAGGGTAACAGTCGTTGCACAGGGAGCCTTAAGATTTAACCACAAGAGTTTCAAACTGTGAATCTGGACGACCCCCCCCCCCCATCCCTCTCCCTGTTACCTTATTTATCTCCACACTTGGACCTTAGTTGTTGGCTTTTTCAAGCTGTTTCTCCCCCCCTCTCTCTCTCCCTCCCTCACACACAGGGACACACACTGTCCCAGACGCCTCCCCCCCTCCACCCTGAGGCCCACACAGAACGACCTTAATGAAAAGGTACTGTACACTGGCGGCTGTGCGCTAGGGAGATATCTGTGAATGTCACTGTTAATGGGAGGGATTAGCAGAAAGCCGGCTGTTGCTATCGCCGTGTTAACGTGTGCATCCTGATGGCAGTGGATGATACCTGGAGGATAACGGAGGCACGGCTTGTTTGTGCCGCTGTGTGTGCGCGCGTGTTACTTCACCACACAGTGGCGGTTCTACGGGGCTGATTTATGTTCCCCAGGTTGCCGCTCTGCAGACCCTGGCTTGATTACAGTGCATCGCTGCAGCTACAGCCATGACCATGACGTGACCCCGTAAATTAGCCCCACTGCATGATGAGAGATCACAAAATCAGATGATGCCGATCCTCTCGAGCTGATTTATTTGATTCCACTGTATCATTTATTTCTCCCATGTCTCCTTCCGTTAAATTCAAGTATCTCGTTGGTGTAATACATCACGGCTGTAGTGAGCCTGAAGGAGCACGACAAAAAGGATTGATGTTCCTCCATGCGTCATCGCTGAGAGGCTCTGTTTAATTTTAAAAGCCATGATTTACAGAACATGCTTTAAAAAATGTACGCAGATCATGTGCTGTCTTATAGTCTCAGCGGAACACTCCATGTTACCTGAGATGGAGCACAGGGCACCTTCTCAAACAGTGGTTTTACTGTGAAACTGTAGACACAGCAGTAGAGCGAAATGCATCACATTTGACCTCTTCCTGAACTTAACTCTTCGGCATATATTTGCATCGATATTTACAGAGAAGAGCATAACTTATGGAAAAAGACAGAAAGTGAGAGAATAGCGGGTCACACTGTGTGTGTGTGTGTGTGTGTGTGTGCTGGGACTTAATACTTAGCACTGTAGCATCCCACAGCATCCGCCACATCAAAGCAACTTTCAGGCAGCAATTAACAGAGCTTCAAATAGGCGGATAACTCAGTTAATAGAGACACTATCTGTACCTTCAACACGGCCGCAGGTTAACTTCGTTTACAGTGGAGCGTGTCACAAGCAACTAGTGAACAGCTGCAGACGGATGGCCCTCCTCCTTTGATGGACTCACTTAGGTAAAGGTTGTGGATTACCAGGAGAAGCACTACCGCTGTGATCCGGAGTAAAACGAGCAACCGCGGGGAGAGAGAGGGGGGGGGGGGAGAGATTCGCACGTGACCGGTGGACTGCAGAGTGTGTCTGCAAAGTCATCTGAGGTCGGCCAGTCTGCGTGATGAGAGGGATGACGCAGAGAACGGGGACTCAGGCCGAGCACAGCGCAGCGCCACGCGGGTCCGAACCTGCACGCACAACGCACCACCTGAATGACAAAGACGATACAAAACTAGTTTGGGCTTCATTTGCAATGAAGAAAGCCACACAAAGCGTGTAACATGAAGTACGTGGCTACATAAAGGCAGGTAGCAAGGCTAAGCGATTCCAGACAATGTTGCGAGCGTGCGCTTGGACACAGTGGTGCTTTGAGCTTCATTCATGTGTCAACTCAAATGCTCAAAGTGACAGTTTTATTGGCAGGTATAATGTTTGCCATGTTCGCCATCTTAGTTGGCACGCTAACGTTTGCAAATCAGCACTCGACACATTGCAGCTGAAGCTGATGAGCTGAATAATTCGCCATGCCAATTGATTTCAAAATGGTGGTTACGTGACAATCCGCTCGATTGATGTGTAGAGTTGGGAGCATCAACCTTTCTGTAAAAAGGCTCCGAAAAGGCAGCAATCGCACATTTATTTAAAAATGATTTGCTTTTGATCATAAAATTTCTCCAATTCAACGAATTTCTCTTAAAGATCTTTTTTAGTTGTTGCAATTACTCGGTAAGACCGTTACGAGTGAGACAGATATCTAAGAGAGGACAGGACCAGTGAGCTGTGTGTCGTAACACAGTGGCAGACCTGAGATGTTCACGCAGAAGAGAAGGGGCCTGCTGAATGGAGCAGAGCTGCCCCGGCCGTCCTCGGCCGCAGCTATGGCTGTACAACACTTCTCCGGGATGAAAGGCGACTGGATCTCAGTCACATCTTCATGTTTCTCAGGTTTTATGTTAGCCAGGATTTGACTTCATTCACAGTTCTTCAAAGGCTTCATCGCCCCCCACGCCCCCCTCCCCCCCATCCCACCTCCCACACGCACACATTTTCCTGTTGGATTCAAACGTATCCCTTTCATCCGGAGATGCTTTTCTCTGACAGCACAAATTACTGGGAGGCAAATGCATTTGGAAATGCCAGCCTCATTTCACCTGCTAACACGCCGAGGCCTCACCAATTTCTTTGCATTAATAAATGTTGCATCCCAGGTCCTCCATCTGTTGTCCCGCGCATTACACCCGTACAACATCTCTATGTAAGCACAGGGATTAACTTTGAGTGACACCAACAGCTCTGTACAGAAGAAAATTCAAATCGGTTCGATCTCCATTTGTGAAGTAAGAGGAATTCATTGTAGGAGAAGAGGACGGGGAGACAGATGGGGAAGGCACTGTGGGTTAAGCTCAGGTTAGAGTCAGCAGCAGGGGTGCTTGGTGACAAAAACACGTTGCGTTCTCTCTGCTGGAGTGTGGAGCCTCAGTCTCAGCCCTGGAGTTCCTGTAAATCCTGCCTTCTGCTGTTTACACTCGGGCTGAAGCTAATGTTACAGAGAGCCGCTCCTTCCATCTGGACGAAGCAGGCCCCCGGTTTTGGTGTTGATCGAGACACTCCTTGAATTCAAGAACGCCTCAGAAAGAAATGTGTGCCCGGCCAATGTAAGTAGAATGTTATCATTTCTGGTTCCACTATTAAAATAAAATCAATACTTTACTGTAGGTAAAATCAACCTACAGTGTCAGCTATATAGTTTACATTATATTCAACATTTTAGTCCAGCATGTTAGCATGCTAACATTTTCCTAGTGGGTATAAATTAAAGTACAGCTGACGCAGACTGGAAGGTCCTTGTTTTTTTCTGTTACCTGGTCCTAAATCAAAGTATTGGACACATTTAAATTTGCACCTGATGGTTGGCTCTGTAGAGGAAAAGGGATCACAAATTCTGTTGAGGGAGGTTGGATTGCATTCTATCTACTTTACAGTTGTCTAGACATTCCACTCAAACCTCACAAACCTCTTGGTGGCGCTGGAGGAGAAGTCAGAAGATCACTGAAGTCATTAGGTTTCATCATCTGGGTACCATGCATGTCTGTACAAAATGTCCTTGCAATCCATCCAACAGTTGATGACATCAGTTTAAATCTGTGGACTGGCAGACGGATCCGTTTCCCTGAAATAGTGAGATTATTATCCTCATTGTGAAATAACTGCTGTTTTTCTGAATTATGTGACAACAAATGATTGTGCTTTTGCTCAAATCGAAGTATTCTTGTCACGTCCATTCAAAAAAAGACCACAATACTTAGATAATGATCTTGTTATCTCAGAAAAACAGGGCAAACACACTTTCTCTAGAGGTGTGCTGCTCGGCGTGGCTTAACATTAAGACATCTTAATGCACACCAAGTCTCTGCACACCAAACATTATGAGGACTCACCTAATGTCATATGCTCCTCATCAATTCATTATGACCATCATAATCCTACAAATTCACATTTACGTGTTGCTTAAAGACACAGAGTATGTCATGCTGAACCCACATGTGATCATCATTTCTACAGCCCTCTGGTCCTTCATTATAGTCCCAGGACATCAGTGATGTAACATCAGGGTAAGAGAGGGTGACTAACAAATACAAATATAAGGAAGTTATGCACATATTCAACAGTGTTTCATATGGCTGTTATTTTAAAAAATTTCAACAAGAATGCTTTAAAAATTGTAATCTGCGCAATATTTAAATCAGATGTTGATCAAAAGGACGTAGAAACATCAGCTGTCAAACAATGCTAATAATACGCATAACACAAATACCAGTAGATTTTATTCTAACACAAACATGTCTCCCGTGCTATGTATTTCTTTTCTGCATTCCTTGCCATGGTAATAGCTGCCTTCCCAGGGACATTTCCTTTGAAGGGTGCACGTGGGAATAGGCCAGGAATCCAGCATCTCGGATATGGGAATAGCTGTGTCCTTGGGAAAGGGAGCTGTGCTGATCAGCTGCTGAGGGATTCCTGGGATGGAGACAGGATGAGCCAATCGATCAGGAGAGTAAAACCTCGAGGCGGAGCAGGGGGCAGTGCTGGGTGGGGTGGTAGGGTGAATTGGGTGATGTTATCTCCATCATCAGCTTCATCCCCCTTCAATTCAAAAGTCTGAATAATGCTAATTTATTTTATTGCACACATGCAAGGACCAGTGGGGCTGCATAGTTTCTTCTATTCAGGGAAAATGTATATCATTTACATCCCTAATGACTATTTGGCCAACTTGAGGTGTTTAATAGTGATTCATGTTTTTTTCTTTACATTCCAGGCTCCATGGCTCTCATATATATTATTTATATAAATATATCCTTCATATAACAACTGGGAATTCATTTTTTGTCAAGGTTATGACAGTTTAGTGCATAGTTTTTTATACATGCAATAAAATACCATTCAAGACAATTTCTAGAATATTTTTAATGGATTTCTATAACATGAAAAAAAAATTGGAAATATATGTTAGTAAGTAAGAAGTAAGACATTCCGTACAGAATGCCAGACATTGATACAACATTTCTAATTCAAAAAGGAGTTTGTATATTACACCTGGTTTGAAGAAGATCTAAAATTACCGAAATACGTCAGAGCCTTTTCCCTTTATCTACAGTAAGTATTACCCTAATGACTACCTGTCACATGACCAAATGACATAAGTGATGATGACAGGGCAAACTCAATGTGACGCTGGAAACTATGAGTAGTGGTTGAAGTTGCTTATTAATTATTTTGTCAAACTGTGAATCCTTGATGTCAAGAATGAACATTTAATAACAATACCAACACAGTGGAATAAACTCAGCAGCAGACTGTACAGACACAGTAACATGTATGCTCACATATGAACACTGGGATCATCCATTGACCTTACTGTAAACGGAGAAAGAAACGGTGATGGTGAAGCTGAAGGAGGAGCAATATGTGAACAGTCAAATATGGTCAGCTGATTAGGAGAGCGGTGAAGAAAAAGATGGTGAGAAATGGCGGCAGCAGGAAATAGAAACAGAATGCTGTCAGACAAATAAAAATCAGGAGGAAAGTGAAAGGCACAGCAGATGCATCTTAAATGTAGCTTCACGCTGACACAGTGTGCAGAAGGTATGGCGGTGCTGGATTGTATGTCACCAGTCTCTTTTCTTTCGCCTTGTTCTCCTCTTTTGACTGTCGTCAGGTCGAGCAGAGTCTGGTCCACCTCCTTTTTTGTCCCTGGTTCCCTCCATCAGGAAAGCTAGAGGCACAAAGTAAAAACAGGCTTTGCCAAAACTTGGCAACCCCTTCTGTTGCACACTGTCCCAAGTCAAGTCCCAATGGACAAAGCTACTGCCGTCGGCATGCCTTAAAAAAGCTTCAAACAGAGTAGTGAAAAGGCAATGAGCCCCCGACTCTGTTATTAAAGCTTTTTAAATAGATATTCAGATGATTGAGCTTTGACAGACAAAGAAATGAAGTAAAAATAGATATCGCTAGCGATATTTCCTCTATTTCCGTTTCCAACGTACTTGAAAAGAAAGTGGGCAAATAACCTTTGATTAGGCAAGATCTTTTGTATAAGCACAGTGAGAAAATACAGACAGTGGATACAGACAGTGGATGCAGACACACACACACACACACACACTTCCCCATCATAGAGAGGGAGTCATGTCTGCCAGCCGAATTGTTACTGTAACAGCTGGAGATTAAAGGGGCAGCTATCTTCCCTCATAATACCGACCAATACTTTCCCTCCTGCGTGTCTCTGGCTCTGTCTCTCTACTCTGTCTCCCTCTTGCCCCCACGCTACACACACACACACACACACACACACACACACACACACACACACACACACACACACACACACACACACACACATTTCAGGTAGGGGAAAGTGTTTTCGAGTGGGTGTGAAACTGACAACTCTCCGCTGTGCCAGACACACACTCCGTATGTTGTTGGTTGGCCACCTTTCAAGTGCTGACATAAGTCAGGCGTTCAGCTCAACACAAATCAAATTGCAGAATTGGAAATGGTATTATGAAACTCCTGGCAGGGTCCCTATATCCATATGTCTACCAAGAGTGCAGGTGGGCCCACATGTCCAAACACACACACACACACACACACACACACACACACACACACACACACACACACACACACACACACACACACACACACAGATACAGTTTGTGACATAGCAGGAAAGTACCACTAAAGGCAGACTAGACAATCAGAGCCAAAGTAGGACGTGTACCCCCACGAGACGTGACCGCAGTATCCTGTATTAACACAATATGAGCAATGAGTGAGGAATGATTCCCAGTGGAATTGACGCAATGCATGGTGGATTTTCATTGGCCAACATTGAGCCAATTGAACCCCCTTGTGTGGGCGCCCGTTGACCTTTGGTGATAAGTAAGCAGATCCCATTATTGACATGACTTGCTACCTCCACACAGGACATAATACGAGTGGCCAACATTACAGGGTTTTCTGATTTTTAGAGTTAAACAGCTGTCAAGTACACTCTACGTGAGGTGCAATGTCATCAACAAGAGGGAATAAACATCTATTTCTGTTGTGTTCGAGAGCATTTTTACAAAGAAAACTGTGAAATGAAACTGAGTAAACTACAGCTTACACACAGCAGCAAATACGGAGCTATCCCTGTTTTACAGGCTGCACGAATGAATCAGGTAATCATCTCTTGTCACATCCCCAATATACAGGCATTAACATTAAGTAACTCTCTCTTTGGTAGCACACCGGGCCATGCTGACAATGATTAGTAGCTCGAAGAACCAGGATAAACACTGTAATTTACATTCAGCACCTTAAGAGAAAGTACCTCCTCTCTCTGCCTCCCTCCTCGTTCTCCCTGTCACCACCACACCACACACACACACACACACACACACACACACACACACACACACACACACACACACACACACACACACACACACACACACACACACACACACACACACACACACACAGAAGCCTGATGCCTGAGCCCTAAATGTCTTTATATCTCTTCCGAGCAAGAAAAGGAGCAATGCAATGTGAGGAGTTAGGACATGTGCCACTTGTATGAAATGGGCCTGATGGATACGTCTTGATGACAATATGGAAACAGTCAGAGTGATGTCTTACCTGCACTTCTTGCGAGAGGACTTGCGTCTCTTCTGCACCAAAAGCAAGATGTCGCCCAAACTGTTTGTGTGTGGCCTGTCAAGGCATTATTTAGGGACTGTTGCAGAGAGGATATACCTAAACATCCCTAACATACCCCTCCCTCCCTCTCTCTCTCTCACGCTTCCTCCCTCCCACCCCGTGTGTGTGTGTGCGCGTGTGTGCATATAGGTAATAAGCTGCTCCGCCACTGCGCAACGATGGAGCTATCGCAACGATGGAGATGACGCAAACCGACCCAGCTCTCCGAAAAAGTGTTTCAAGACGAACATGGCGGCAACTTAACCGCGGTCCAAGATGACAATGGCCAACGGGAGAAAGGATTGCAGGCTTCCCACCCGGGTACCGGACAGTGTGCGCGCACCGAACGGGCTCGCCGCTCTCCTTTAAGCGAATCCGCACAACCGAACCGGCGGCAGACGCGCAGCATCAGCACCGAGAGGCTCGCAACAGCTGGTCTCCCTGCGTGCCCCCCGACGACGGAACAAACCCGGGTAGGGACTGTCGGGAGAGGGGGGGGCATGCGGTCAAAGAGGGCGCCGTTTCCCCCCAGAGGAGCCATGGAGAACCAGGATGCGGCAGCGCGAGGCTTAATCCGTGCGGGCGCGCTAATTGGATCGGAGTAGCGGCGCCGAGCGCTGCGGGCGCGAGAGAGGAGCGCCCTGGACCGGCGCAGGCACGGCGACCCACCGCTAAACGGAGGAGAACAAACCGGAGTCCGTCTCCCCCCCCCAAGTCAATGAGTATTGTGGCAGAGCAGCCCCCGCGGTGGAGTCGGCCAGGGCAGCACTTTCCTAAAATATGACCAGGGGCGCTTGGATGCGTCGGCAGCACGATGAGGGCTTAAAATACTGGTTCGCACCCCGAGAGAACGAGAAGCCGTTCGCCGAGTCGGAGCGGGCCCAGAGATGGCGACTGTCGCTGGCCTCTCTGCTGTTCATCACCGTCCTGCTGTCTGATCACTTGTGGTTCTGCGCCGAGGCGAAGCTGACGCGAACCCGGGACAAGCGGTCGGACAGGGGGCTCGCTTTTACGGACACGGGCGAGTACCCCAACTCCCTCCAGCGACAGCGCAGACCGCCGCCACCAGACCCCCGCCGTCTCGCCACAAAGCAAGATGTTATTTTTCTAGAGAATTCTACCAGACCTCTGTGGCGAATGGACACCTGTCATCCAGACAGCCTGTCCAAGGACTGCTTTACTTTCACGGACGCGCGCAGCGTGTGCCTGGGCCTCTCCGGCGGAGGGGACGGGGGGACGCGGCCGGCGTACGTCAACCTGAGCGATTTGTACCTTTCTTTTTGTAATTCCTACTCACTTTTGGATTTGTTTTACGGGTTTACGAGCCCGGACGATTTGAATTGCACCCTGGATATGGCCATGGGGGTGGACCTGCCGGGATGCAGCGAGTGCGTTCGGGCTTATCAGCTGCTCGACCGGCGGGCGGAGGACAACTACCGGGAGTTTGAACTGCTGGTTCAGAAATACGAGACGGATGCCTACTCGGTTAGGACGTGCATGGAGGAATGCAAGGTAGGACTAATGTGGCTGCACACACGCACACGCACACACACACGCGCGCACAAGTGCGTTAAGGGGGGCGGGTTCATTGTCACCACGGCAACCGTTGGGCACATTCGTCGGTGTATTGGTATGTTTTTTTTTATTTCTACCAGTGGTCATCACTTGGCCTGTCGAGGTTTGCACGAACACACAGTTTGCAGCACGCTGACAATGGCATAAGGGGACTAGAGGACAGGTCGCCGGTATTTCTCCATAATATCAACCTGACCTGTGACCTGTGACCTGTGGCGTTTGACATTTGGAGGGCCAGGCCTGGGAGGGGGGCTGCACAGTGGGGCTCATTTCAGTAATGTTAATGTTGCTATTTCTGCATCTAACAATGTGTTGTTCCCAGTTTGCTTGTTGTTTCGAATAATACAGTAGCCTTAGACACACACACACACACACACACACACACACACACACACACACACACACACACACACACACACACACATACCTCTGGCTGTACACACTGTGCATGTGTCAACATATGTCCATACCCACACACACAGACACACACTTTGTCTTGTGTTACTTTGGGCATCAAGGCCCACTCACCCTGCGCTGAACAAAGACAACCTGACGGTCGATAGTAACATGGTGGAGATACGCTGGTTGAATTACACTTCAATATTGTTCATTTGTGCACTGGGCTGTTACAGGTTTTTTTTTCTTCTCGTAGGCAGTTGTGTGTCCTCGCGTGCTCACTGTCCATCCTGCAGGGAGAAAGCTCACCAGAAGGCCTTTTTTTTAGCTGTGTACTTATGAATCATTTGAATTATTAATCTGGAACAGAGACCATGAACAACCTCAAGCGCTGCATCTTACCTCCACCTTTATCAGGGGGGTTTAAGAGTTCATGTTTGTTTGCTTGAACACACCTGATGGGAGACATGCAGTGTGTGTGTGTGTGTGTGTGTGGAGGGGGGGAAATCAGGATTGAGAATGCTGTTATGAGAAGTGTGGAATATTGTTAATGACAGTAAGGATGTGGGAGTCTGGCCTGACCAAAGAGCCAAAGAGCCGTATGATGTCATCTGGCTCGTGCCCCTGGTAAAGAACAGCACACGCATTCGTCTGTATCCACCGTAGAACTTTATTTATAATCAGCAGATCAACTTTTCACCTGTGCCGTGGCACCACGTCCCACACGGGTCGGGGAACAGACCACGGAAAGCAGGAAATCCTCACTCAAAACCGCCCTAATAATGATCCAACAAAACAAACCCCTTTTACACAAGATTGATGTTGAACACGGGCAGATGGTCAGGAGGCCGGGCCGCGCGTGCTGATAATCCACGTGAACGCGAGGGAGGCCAGTTACTGAGGTGAAACGGAGGTTTCATTGTGAGCCATCGGTTACGCGGTCTGTGATGTCTGTGTTGTATTTATGTTCTTAAACCCGTTTCTTAGAACATCTTATAGCTGCTCCCTTTTCATGCCATCTAATCACCATGGTACATTTGCACTCCTACTCTTTGCTAATGTAATCAGACTCAGGCAGAGCTACAGCAGCCTTTTAGCCCCTTTAGCCCAATCTGAATTGCTAATCTCCCTCCAGTGTTCGTGTGACCTTTGTGGAAACACAGCTCCCCGGGCCTGCATCACAAACCACCGCTCCTTCAAGAAGCACTCTGCTGGACAATGCAAATACATTAGAAAGCTTGAAACAATACTTGTTGCTATTCACTCTTATCGCTCGGGTTTCTCTCAAACCTCCTTCCACTTCCTCGTCCAGATTTCGAACAACTGCTCAAGGCTCCATTTCAAAGGGTTGTATTCAAATTGAAACTAACATCTCGTGGTGTTTCTGTCCGCTGTAGGTGTTAGTTAATCAGAATGGTGTACTGTATGTCGCTGGGTGTTCCTTGTTTTTACCGTCACACTGCGATGTGTTACTGAATGTGGCAATGCTAAGAGGGAAGATCTGGAATTTTACTATTAAACGCCACCTTGGGAATTTCACCCCAGGAATTAAAAAAGGACCACCAGTCTGAGGTCAATGACAGGACACAGGTTCGTACAACACAGGCACTGGACGCAATTCCATAAACAAAATTATACAAGTTTATTTTAATATTAATTTATTTTCTTAAAATACAGTCGCGATCAAAGTTCAAATAAAATCTTTCTCAGGTTCTCAGTCATTCAGGTTACCATGAGATGCAACATACAGGAGGGGGCTGAGACTGAGGGCTCACTGGCGGAGTTGACTTGCTGAGGGGGAAGGGGCCTAATGTTCCACCACACGTGAAAAACAAAACAAACCATAAACTATTTACACCGAGGTGCACTGCAACGAAAAAATGAAGGGAACCACCACCGGGATCAGCCAGTCACTCCTACCAGTGGCACCAACAGCTCCTGTACATCAAGACAGAAATACACCATTAGCATGTAATACCGGCCAGGAGGCCACACATACACATACGCACACACACACACACACACACACACACACACACACACACACACACACACACACACACACACACACACACACACAAAGAAATGAATGATTAAATCACAAAACAGAAAAACAGCCCAGACAGAACAGCTGTGGTGGGGGGTCCCCGCACTGTTTAGAGGCCCGCTTCAGCAGGTGAGCCACTGGTGGGACGTAGGGTGGTGCACCACAACGACGCCGCTTTAGCTGCAAATCAAAAGCAAGAGGCGTCTATGAAACAGCTGGACGAGGCCCATGTGCATCTAAGCAGTACAGATGAGACACCCTACCGTAAGAATTGGATGCAACGTTGCCCGAAACTTACCTAAAAGTCTAAAACCGCCACGACTTAACAAGTTGAGCCTCGCTGGGCCCTGCAACAGCCACGCCAGACCAGTCACACTGCCGACGCCAAAGTTTACCCCCGAGAAGAGGTAGGGAGACCCACCTGAAGTGGATGGGCTGTTCCTTCATGTAGCCTCAGCAGCCCCGCCCCGTGATCAACCTGATATCCTATTAGGTTGATCACAGCTTAGTGACACACAGTGGGAGGGTGGAGCCTAGATGGAAAGTCAGCTGATTTAGAACACCCCAAAAACGTGTAGCTAAAGCCTCGTTCATCTGGGTGACAGATCTACATTGTTGCCCGTGAAAACTATTAAAAACAAATCAGTGTTCTTCATTACTGTGAAAATGGGCGGCGTAGTTTATTCAGAGTCAATGCACATTTCCCTTCTTGTTGTCCCAACTACTCGCTAGCACTCCAGATGCGTACTCACGCATGTCTGAAAATAGTCCCCAGCAAATGCACTCTTTATTTCTGTCACTCTACAAAAAGAAATACAATGGATGTGTTACCCGTTTAAAAAAACAAGTACAACTTCAGAAGGAACAAATGGGCTCGCGGCCGAGTGCCAGATGACTGAGGATGGTCTTTAGATGTTCCAACTTGTGGCTGTCAGACTCCACTTCCCGAAGGCGTGTTGTGCAGATCAAGCCACCTTTGCTAAATAATGAGTCTCTCATCATAGCCACTTCTTCCTCTTCAAGATCGTTTGGAAGCCTTTATAGGGAAAGATGTTCCATATTCCATGTGGATGCTTTGGTTTTAGGGTCCTGGTGTGGAGGAGAATGCTGGCTCGCTGTCACATGGTCACGCCTCGCTTTGAACGAAACGGCAATCATTCATTGCAAAAATATGTGTGCTTCTCCTACGACAATGGGGTCAAAATGTCATGTGAAAAAGGCAGATGTACAGAATGCCTACTCTTTACTTCCTGTTATTTTCAAATCTTTTGAATTCTCTTTGGTAGAGCCCAATATCACAAATTGGCCTTTGAGGGCTTTACAATCTATACAACACACAACATTCTCTGTCCTTGGACTCTCATATCGGATAATGGAAATCTCAGCCACAGCCAATGAGGCCCCTTGTTGACATGATGACCTCTTACTTTACTGCTTCTTCTTGTGTTATTTCCACCTTTTGATCTCTCGACGCACCTGCTTATACCAATACAGATGCGTTCATATACGCACACGCTCACAAAGAGCCCCATGTGCAATGTTTCCTGCAGATCCAGACCTGACTGTCCCTTCCGGTGTAATTTAATTTTCACTCTGCTTCTCTGGCGGCTGTGTCTCCAGGGCGCTGCCTCATCATGCTGATCTCCTTTCTCCCTCTGTCTGTTATTGTCCCTCTCTTACTTTCACATCCTTTGTTTTTACCCCATCTGGTGTCAGAGCTCTGAGGAATCAACATCACGCATCTCAACATCACCTCCACCCCTCTCCGCCTCCTCCTCGTAGACTCGCTTCTCTCCAGGGACCTCGGTTTTGCTCTCCCAAATATGTGGGTGTTGAGCTCTCCTCTCCTCCCGGAGTGATAGATACTGATCTAGGTTAAGGTGCTTTCCTTCCCTTGAATTACAGGCCTGTCCGCACAAATCCCAATGTGTGCTCCCTCACTCGGCCTGCTTATTCAATCACCGCCTCCCTCCCTATCACTCTCCATTTCCACAAGACTATTCAATTAAGCCCCTGTTTAATTCAGCTGTTTGTTTTGACTCTACAGTGAGGACAGGATGATTGGGTTTTCCGTTAAATAAAAGACAATTACCCAAAGTCCCGGCTGAGCATGTCCAAGCAAAATGAAGAAAAGGAAAGAAACAAGATGCCCTTTTATTGACCCTCGGGTGGGAAATGTTGCATCTTAGCATCACAAGGCCAGTGATACAGTAGAACCAGCCTACAGTAATGCTGGCAGCTCTGTGAGGCCGTACCAAGGCACAAGGGGGCATTGAACTCACTTAAAATGTCAGCAAGAACAATACCTACATCCATATGCATATATATAGATCTGTCTATATCGTTATATATGGTAACAAGCTAAAATGAACTAATTAACTCCAAACAAAAAGTACAGCTAAGGCTCAAGGGAATGTTATTGGTTGGCGGGTTGGTATAAACCAAAGAATTGGATTCAATCATTAGTTTTTCCTCCGAAGAAGGAGATTGTCTA